AGCTCTTCTTCAGCAGCAACTTCTACTCCAGATGTGCCGTTTTTCTGATCGACTAGAGTTCATCAGCAGTCCTGCACAGCTGTTTGACATGGTTATATGGACACCCCCGGTTTGTTCACAAACCCGCACCTGACCCTGCGGGTATCTGGATCTGCTGTGTTACTTTACAGAGGTGTCTAGTGAGGCAGGGACAGGCACTACCACACAATACCACCAAGCTTGTCTATAGCTTTTTTTCAGGAAGCAATACCCTTCCCCAGAGAGGCACAGGAAACAGAAATGACCTGCCCAAGGTCAGGGAGCAGATCAATGGCATCCCCAGGATTTGGGTAAGTCTCCCACGTTCCAATCCAAAGCCACGGCTACTATGAAACACTGCCTCACTTGGCTGCAGGAACCTCACATTTTATGCTGCCACAATAGTAATGAGCTTCCTATTCCCTTCATTGCACAGGTCTATTCCAGGAACTTATTTTAAAGATTTCAGTGTACGCTACCTCTGATCAGCATTTATAAATATTCTTAAGGCCCTTTCATAATCATTCATTTAAGCATGCTCTGCTTTAAATCATTACCAGATTTCTAGGAAGCAAAAAAACAAAGCTATGCAAAAGTGTACTTGCTTTTATACTCCATGACTCCCCACATTCAAACAACTGACAGACCTGGAAACTTGGAGGCACCTGAATAAAATGTCACTGTATCTTACATATCACTTGACACACACGCTTTCAAAATCCGCTACAGAATTCAGTAAAAGGAGATGCAAGGCACTGAGGGAAGATACCTAGGTACCTAAGTTTCTACTGCACGTCCCTGCCAAAGCAGGAATCTCTTTGCTAAGGTAAGATGCAGTACATGGTATAAATTACACAAGCCAGTGAGGTAAATAATATGCAGAATACACTAAAGAGCTGAGCAATAAAACCAGTGAGAGAGAGCCACTAGGAGGCACAGACAAGGGAGAAAAGGAGGGCTGAAATACGATTAAGAATGAGACGAAAAGGCAACGAGGTAGACAGATTCAGGCAGACTACTCCAAGCAGCAGGGAAGCCTCTTGCATTTACTGTTGTCAGAGCTGCCGTGACAGTTCTCTCCTTTCATGAATCGTGGCTGGACAGACCTGGAGAGCGTCTCCACTAACGTTGCTCCAAAGCCATCTCCAGACCTTTTCACCCTGGGGAAGGTTTGTACTTGCCTGTGGGAATCTGGGTTGTCTGCCAGGGATGGCTCCAGGGGCTAAAAGAGGATGTACATTAACATGCAAAATAAAAGGGCAGTTGTGCTACCAAGAGGCAGGGGGTGTGGGGGTACAGACAGATAACCATCCGGCTCTCCTTTCTGAGTCAAGAATCTAGTTTTAAACATCTGCTGAGGACCTCTTCCCAGGTGTTGTGAGAGACAGGCTAGAGGGCAGGATCCCAAGAGTACGGGTCTGAGACATGAGCCTCCTACTTGAGGGCAAAGTTGTAAGGAGCCTACTTCCACTGCCCCCAAACTCGCTGAGAAGGTGCAGCTCATGCTTCTGCGGGAGCTAGGACAAAGAGCAGAATACCTCGATTAGTAAGCAGGACATCTCAGGAGCCACAGAAAGAGTAGCGACACAATCACTAGACCTGGGACCACTGACTGAGTGATGACCCACCCTTGCCTCGAGGAACAACACTGCTTTCTGCCAGGTCTGAGCTTTCATCCCCAGAAGAGGCAGAACTCTCTTCAGTGCAAGTCTAGAGAGGTAGTAAAAGAAAACTTCTACTTCCTTCACTTAGATATACATGTCCTCTTCCTGAGACCGAGACTATTTTGTGCAGATTAGGTACTTCAAGGAGTCAGAAAAATTAGCCAACACCATCAGATAAACAAGCTTAAATAAAGAAAGGTCATTGAGAAGGATAAATGTTCAGCTTTAGAAAGAGCACTCTTAAATAAAAGGTTTTGAAAGGAAATATACAGACACAAGACATTTTTATGTCTGCCCCCGGTGCCCATGTAGCTTAGGAATTCATTCTGAAGATGAACAAACAAGCATCTCAGTGCTCATGGCCAAAACAGAAGGGATTTTGAAGGTGAGATTCAGCAAAGTCAGCAGAGGAAAGATCTCGAGACAGAAGATCATTCTCTCAACCACAGTAGAAACCCACCCTCAAAACACCATCAGACACTGCCATTTCTGGGTGTTCCTCTTTTATAGATGAGCATTTGTTTCCAGGATAGGCCTTTCCTATGCTTTATCAGGTCTTAAGAATGCTGGGTCTTCAAAAATTGTCAAAAAGGTATGCCAAAGAATATAACTGCTCTATAAAAAAATGAAAAAGGAGGAAAGAGATCTAAGCAAAGGTCTTTAGATTTTTGCATCCCTGATATCTGAACAAGCTACCAGGAATAATCTCCATCCAGCACAGTGTCATCCCGAGGCTTTCCGAACAGGATACTCCTGGCTACCGCTGAATGTTTATTACTGTCAGCATTGGGAGAGAGGTCTGATCTTCACACTCTATGAATGACATTTGTTTAACGTTCTAAGACCAAAATCTTCAAAAGCATCAGGGAATAAAATCCATGCCAGGCAGCTCAGGAAAAATGGGCAAAAGTCTGTTTATATAGAAGACAGCTTTAACTCTCAACAGGAAACTCATATAAAGTCAAACAGCTTTTAGCACAGAGAAAGATTTCTATTCTCCAGAATTCCCAGCAAAAATATACCCTGAGTAGAAAATGATTTGAGACCATCTTCAATAGAAAGCAATAATTAAACCTTGAAGTCCTGCAGGTGCTGCTACTCTCCCCCAGAAGAGAAAAGGCTTTCCTACCTTGGGCCATTTAGGATTGAGAAGTCGTGCTTTGATTGCATCATCGAGTGCCTTGTCATACTGCTGGATTTTCATGTATGCTGCAGATCGGTTACTGTAGAGGATGCAGTTCTGAGGATCGACTCCCAGGGCCTCATTGTACAGCATGATAGCCGTGTGAAAGTCGCCATCGTGACAGGCCTGGTTGCTCTGGCGAACCTTCTCAACAAATTCAGCCTTGCTCAACATGGGGCTGTCCGGGCTTCTTCCTCCAAAAGGTTTTGAGCCAAAGAAAGGAATCTGTAGACAGAAAAAGGTATTAACCTCAGGGCCTGACTGTTACTCACTTTTTATTAATTATATTCAAATTTTAACAGCAGTATAAATTGTGCAATACAAATTAAACTATCACTACTATAGCAATCTGAAATGAGCACACAATAAAAGCCTTTTCCCAATTTTTAAAGTTTACTGTTTATTTAATTGATCAGGTTTTAGCTTGTTTTTACCAGATGTGGCAAGAAAAAGGCCACGGTAGCCTTTCTGCAGGCAGCATGAATGGTAAGCAATGTTCTCCGGACTTCCAGAAAACTTAGCTTCCTCCTCCGAGCACAAGAGCTAAACCCTCCTTGTAACTTGCTGCACTCCACAAGCTCATCCCGCTTGTATTTAAATACAACTACACCATGTGACTCTGGATACGATGCTGGCAACAGCAGCCCCTTACACCTTGTTGGATACAGAGACTGGTCTGTCTTATTGCTTTTGCCCTATGAGCTAAGGCTGGGAGGGGCTTTGATCTTTTGATTCTACCATTTCAAGCATATTTAATCTAGTCACCTCCAAGAGATGAACAGGCGGGAGAAGTGAGTGTAGGAGCAAGAGCATGCGTGGGACTCAGGAAATCACTGAATAGCTAGAAGTGACAAAGAGAACAGTTACACGTGCCTGTCTGAATCTGTGCAAGAACTTACAACATCTGTTGTCCAACCTCTCAACATAAATGAGTGCACGCCAGCAAAACGTGGACTGGTGCTAAGAGAAATCTAACTAGGGCTGCCCAGCTCACACGTGGCGACCACTCCCCTCCCAACTGATGCAGCTGTGCTGCTGCTGGGGTCTCCAGGCTCCTCCCCTGTTCTCCAGCTTCTGCTTCCTGCCCCTACCCCTGAGGCTGAAAGACTTGTGCCACATGCTGCCCCCAGCCATTCAGAAGCTGGACAGTCCTGATCCAGCTGAGGGTGGCCACATGGGGGTAGGCAGAGCACATGTTCACCAGTAAGCTAGTAATCTTGGATGCTTTTTTGAAAAATATGCAAGTCCCCTGGCATGATGAAAGAATGACATGGGAGGGAACAGAAGCAAACCTGCAACAGCCCTGTTCAGAGTCCATGAGCTGAACACCTTGAGTGCAAAGCAAGCAGGAGTTCCCAACTCCAGACTGACACGGCAATAACTCCCCAAGCACCCTTGCTTGTAAGAGACATTCTGAAAGTCATCACTCAAATCACAAGTTCAGAGCAGCTGACAGACCAACCTTGCTAATTATTAACAAGTATAAAATAAAATGAAAGCATACTTTCATCTCTTTACTGTCCCAAAAACTGCAAAACAAAATATCGATCACTCCTCACCCCACAAAGCAGTCCACAGCATTTGTCCCCCAGGGAATTTTCAAATCCCATCATTAAAAGAGTAACGAGAAGCATTTTAGGCTTTGGCAGGTAGGTATTAGCAAAACACAGATTAACAAACTCCAGTATGGACATGGATGGATTATTTTCTGTATGGTAGCATTAGCTGCATTTAATCGAAATACTGACTGCCTGGGGCTGCTGCTATGGAGACAGATCCAAAGTCACAGAACGGCAGGGACAAGACAATGAGAATACTTGGTTTCCTGCCACCACCCCTAATTCACCCTCAGCAGACTTTGGTTTATTTTATTTTTTTTTAAATAATTCATAGTTTGCCCTGAAATCTTGTTCTGCCTGGGACAAAATTAGGTGTCAGAATCTGATCTGCTTTTTACTGAGGTCCAAATCATCATTAACGCCAATATAAATCCGTGGGGAAACTGAACACGTCTACTAACAAGGGTTTGCATACAGACAGAACTCCCAAAACAAGCAACTCCTTCTGGAAGGCCTCATCAAGGAGGATTCTGAAGTAACAGAATTCAGATGAATGGCAGCACCTGCGTTTTCGTGGCAGGTATTGCCTGTTAGCCAATAACCCAACCCCCAGGACAGGAAAGCAATGCTGGACTGAATTTTAAGACAAAAAACATGACAAAGCCGCACACATTGTGAAAGACAACCACCCATCACTTGCAGAGCAAAGAAGTCCTCACATGAGACTAAGAGCTGCTTTACAGGTCGGACTTAACCAGGAGGGCGGCTGGGGCACAGGCACGGCATTCCAACCTCCAAGTACCATACCAGGCTGCACATTTAGCCGTGTGCCCAAACGGGAACCTTCATCCCCCAGGCTGCGATTCAAGAGTTACTAACCCCAAAACAGCAGCAGTTACCTCCTCTGCCATCCATAGGGCACGACACTCATCTCCCCAGCCAGGGAAGCATTCCTGCATGGGGATACTGTAAACCCCAGTGAGCAGATCTCAATTTCATCAAAGCCCTGAACATCACTTAGGGCTGGCCCCTTGCACAACTAAGAAAATTGTCAGGATTGCTATTCCCACACCTAACAGAAGGCTACCGATTGCACAAACAGCTCTTAAAACACCCCCTTCACTGGACCGTATTCCTTGACATGGAAGATTTCTTGAGTCCATAGAGCAGCTTCTGTCTGAAATACCTACCAGCAGTTCCTTTCCAAGTGCTTTAAACAGTGCTCACTTCCCATGCCCTGCAGATCCAGACGCAAGGAACCCTCCCACTCAACCCACACTGAATGAAGAGAACTTTGACTGGGATAATTGCTACCAGCTGAGTAGAAGGGCTGCAGTTTGCCATTAGAGAATACCACATGCAGCAGCTCTGGAAAAAGGAAGTAAGACCAATATTACCGCTGAAAACCTTTCTAGTGTTAGCAAAACACAAAATAAGCAGACTCAGAGACCTGGAGAAATGCTTGAAGACCCAAAATCCAATCTAGATTTTACTGCTTGTATTTGTCTGAACATCAGTCTAATTTTTACAGTGGTTTCTCTTCCAAAACCACTGAGTCACTGTTGCCTTTCCTAAAAATTGATGTCACCAGCTTATAGCTCCCAAACAATCTAAAACTCTTGTTGTATTAGCCTTCAAACCTAACTGCTCTCAGGTATTGAAGATAAGCAGAAAACAAAAATCCCATGCTGAAATAATGGCAATGACATACAAAACTACATAACTTCAAGACTGCTGCAAAACTCAAGATCTATGTGCCTTGTAGAACGGCAGAAGGGCTATCTTATTGCTGAAGCATATGACTAGGAAGGAAACCCAAGTCCAACTCTAACAAATTAAGTAATAAAGGAGATATTCTATAGAGCGGTATACTGCTCAGCCACATACCTTGCAAGAGTGCTGAAAGGCATAATATTTAGAAAGAGCTTTGATCCCTCAGTGGAAAGCAGCAAAGTATAATAGCCCTAGTATGAGGAATCATTATGAAGCATTAGCAGAGCACTCCCTATAAATATCTGTTCAGACAGAGCTCGACTTTTTCTGAGACAGAACAAAAGGGAATGTGGGTTTAGAAGCCAAGACATGGGCTCTGTTCCTAGATCTATCATTAACTCTGAAAGACTGGGCAGGTCACTTATCTTCAACAGGTCTCAGTGCCTGGGCCTGCATTCAATAGCTTTCTCCACATTGCTCACCATGCCGCTACCACCAGGGCAGTTACAGGATGTTTGAAAACTAAGAAAGCTACCAAAGGCAGGCCACCAGGTTTCAGTAAGTCCATCCAAGAGGGTGGCTAAAATGCTGGAAGCCTGTCTATACTAGCATCTCCAGCTGTGACACCTCACCAAGAGACAGCACAACCCAGAACTATTTTAAGAAAGCTACAGTACAAAAAAAGAGTTTCCCCATGGGGAAAAAAGAGTTACGCCATGAGTACTGCGTCGGAAATGGGGCTGATGCTCTAATAAATACTTTGCTGGAAGAAGTCTGCTTGGTCTCTAATTTTCACCATCTTTGATCCCAGAGAAAGCAGAATACAAGTTCTGTATAGTCTCTACTTGTTCTCCCTTTTACGTTAATAGAAAGCACCATATGGGCAGTAAGACATAATGCCTCTATTAGTAGCATTACAGCTACTAATGTACACAGATCTGTACCATACAAATTTCAATCTAGAGATCTGTGGCAGCACAACCCCCCATCAACATATCCATATTAGACCTACCTTCAGGTCTAAGTCAAATGTTCTTCCTTGTAGCTGTATTGGACAAGTCTTCCACCATTCTGTGTGCCCTGTAAGATCCCACGTTGTGCCCATTATGTGGTTTGTTACTAATCCAGATCTTAATATCTGTGCCTCACTGTTTGCTGGAAAATGTCATTCATCAGCTCATGCAGAATTTGGTTGGGGTTGGATGTGGTACTGGTGGGACCAAGCATAAGACCCATTCCTCCTCATTATCTGCATCCACAAAAGAAGAACTTGTGATATGTATGTGCAGCACTCTGTTTTAACCTTAAGCCAAGGTCCTGCAACTGGTCCCAAGTCGTGGACTCAAACCCACAGACAGACCTACTGACTTCAGTGGGGCTCTGTGCCTGGATCTGTTACAAGAGAGAAGCGTGAATACTGTGCAAATACAGCTAAGACATGTTTCCTGATTTCTGGGGCTAACATCAGTACCATCCTGATGCATGCAGTGTTCATGTCTTTTGCCCTTAATAAGGTCCCGTCCTTCATACAAGTCCAGACTTAGAAATAGCACCTGGCCATGGTAACAAACGTCAGGTGAGGAAGTGAATGAAGTCCTGCTCTGAAAGACAGAAGTGCAACTGCCCTGCAGTTCTACCTGAAGCGACTGCTTAGCCAACCACAGTTGAAATGCATTTAGCCAAAGGACTTTTGAGGTCCTCCTCAGAACCAGCCTAGCCATGACTGTTGAAACAGATTGTTCCCCTTACTACTATTACACTCACCAGCTGTTAATCATGGCTCTATATCTGGCAGCCATCCAATAAAGAAAAAAAGGGCGCTTTCTGTGTGCTCTATGGAAGGGCTGTCCAGCTTCTGAGTGGCTGGGCACCACGGCCCCCCAGCCACATGCTGCAGAGCTGCATGCAGTGCCATGGGGTGCATGCCATGGAACCGCATGCAGTACTACACGGCCCCACTCCCGCTGCATCACAGCATCCTCTGCTCATCAGACCACCCATCCCATCCAGCCCCAGGGGCGGGGGCAGGCAGAGGAAGCCAGGGGAGGGATGGGAAGCCTGGGGACTTGAACAGCAGCAACTGGAAAGCAAAGGGGAGAGCAGCACCTCAGCTGGGAGCTCAGAGGCTGCA